TACTTTAACATGCAATAACAAATCTACAGTTTTGCAGTAATATAAAATAAACAAGAATAAGCAGTTATTTTTATTTTAAATTTTAAAAATATATGTATGTATTTTGAAGAGAAAGCTTCATATATTTACAAAAATATAGTCAGAAATACGAGTCTTGAACTGTATAAAATACGAAAATCGAAATTCAATAATCTTTATTCAAGTAACGTCCTAACATTCTGTAAATATTATATACATTTATAATTAAATGAAATATAAGTGTTTCTGTTATCATTGTATTTAATTAACAAAAAAAATTCGAATCGAACCTTATGTTGTTGTATGAAGTTTTGAAATCGCCAGTTTAATTTGAAATGCAACTTCATATATAAATAATAAACAATAATAATAAAAATATTACGCAAATGAAATTCTTTAAAAATGTATATCAATTACACACGAAATAATATATAGTAAAATTTATGTACTAATAGTCATTATTATAACTTTTTATTAACTTACTTTTAGGATATACTAATTAATTTTTTGTTTATATTGTTTTTTACTTTTAATAATTTTTATACCATTATAAATATTGTAAATTACTAATACCAAATTACTAGGCAGTAATTTTGTAAAAACCTAATTAAACTAAAATAAATTTAATTGAAATTATTAACAAAAAATATTTTTATATGTATGTGTTTGTATTTATTTAAAAATAACAAGGATAATTATATTCAAAGATACCAACATAGATACTTAAGTTTTTATTTAAGTATTGATATTGAAACAGAATTTTTATTTTTTTTTTACTTCAGAAAATATTTAAATACAATTAATGCGTTCAAAGATTTTCTTGTATACTATTACTATATTGACTAATCTATTGTAATAATCCTTCTGGTAGGTCTGTCATTGTAGCACAGCACAGTTTATGACTCATGGAAGATTATAACATCGTTTCAATATTTATCTAGCTGTAAAAAAACATTGTAGTGAACAAGAAATACTTTACAAAATTTTAGGCAAAACGCAATAAATTTCTAATAAAAACTTTTGATAAGTGTTTGTTCTGCGGTACGGCCCGACGCTCTGTTATATAAGAAACAACAACAATATATTCTTCCCTGAGTTCCATAGTATGGACTCTGATCAAATTTTCTCGGTTTTTTCATATATTCGTCATGGTAACATATTCTGCATATGCTGTGAAAGTTGGTCTTAAAGATAATTTTATACTTTGACTCTAATCTACTCTAGTATTCAGCTAGATTTAAAATATTATAAATAGTCCTACATATTAGTAAAATATTTCTCATAGTTTAGGCACACTTTTCCCCAAATGGTGGCTATAATACCTGGACTGTTCCACTCCAAACGATAATGTTTCATTTTACATTTAAAAACATAGATATTTTAGTTAGTAAAGTAAAAAAATTAGAAAACAATAACTAATTATGTATCAACATCTCAGACAATAATCAACGCAAGGCGCCAATTACTGTAAATTTACCGCACATCGTTTAAATAATGCAAAATAATAGAAAAACCCAAGTTGTGAAAACAGTTGTTTGACAGTCAAAAAATAATGTAGGATTTGTTTTTGACATATTTTGTGTTCTTCTTTCAATAATTTTATAATTTTTTTTTATGTTTATATTCTTAATATAGTAATTAACAAATATATAAAATAAAAAATATATATGTATACTAAAACAAAAAGTTGTCTTTTTCTGAATAAGAAGTTGAAATTATCAATTATTTTCAGTGTGAAAACTCATTCTTGACAAACTGTATTTATAAGTGATGCTTCTAATATTTTTTTTTAATTATTTACTTGTTATTCTCAAATTAAATATGAAATTTAGAGCTTAGTTTTAAAACGAATAAAAAATAATTTTAATAATACTAAATATTTATGCATGATAATTATTTGCTAAACAATTTTCCTGCTTGCCTTTTTTTATGATAATATCCGTTACTTACGATTATCTCTTGCAGTGAGGGATATAATCGTTATATAATGAATACTTCACAATTATAAGCTCTCTTTTTATGGACATTACAGGAATTTTAAGTTCTTAATAACAAAAAAGTAAAAGGTGAAAAAAAAACCGAAATTACATATTGTATTTTAAACGAAATTACTTTATTTTTATTACTTTACGTTATTTACTTACTACAATGTTGACAGTTTTATTTTTACTGAATTCAAAAAATAATACATATTGAACATTTGATCCTACAGGCGAAATATAAGTGGCAGTTCAACACCATCAGGCATGCAAATCCCAAGAAAGAGTTCACCTGAGCCAACATTTAGTTCAACGATGCGCAAAACTTCTCGTGGTACTACACCAGTCAAAAAACGTGAACCATTCAGACGTTAGAGTATATTTCAAATGTTTGAATAATACCCCTTAAACGAGTCCCAGAGAACATCAAATTGAAATCGCACAAATACATACTTTAACATGCAATAACAAATCTACAGTTTTGCAGTAATATAAAATAAACAAGAATAAGCAGTTATTTTTATTTTAAATTTTAAAAATATATGTATGTATTTTGAAGAGAAAGCTTCATATATTTACAAAAATATAGTCAGAAATACGAGTCTTGAACTGTATAAAATACGAGTCTTGAACTGTATAAAATACGAAAATCGAAATTCAATAATCTTTATTCAAGTAACGTCCTAACATTCTGTAAATATTATATACATTTATAATTAAATGAAATATAAGTGTTTCTGTTATCATTGTATTTAATTAACAAAAAAAATTCGAATCGAACCTTATGTTGTTGTATGAAGTTTTGAAATCGCCAGTTTAATTTGAAATGCAACTTCATATATAAATAATAAACAATAATAATAAAAATATTACGCAAATGAAATTCTTTAAAAATGTATATCAATTACACACGAAATAATATATAGTAAAATTTATGTACTAATAGTCATTATTATAACTTTTTATTAATTTACTTTTAGGATATACTAATTAATTTTTTGTTTATATTGATTTTTACTTTTAATAATTTTTAAACCATTATAAATATTGTAAATTACTAATACCAAATTACTAGGCAGTAATTTTGTAAAAACCTAATTAAACTAAAATAAATTTAATTGAAATTATTAACAAAAAATATTTTTATATGTATGTGTTTGTACTTATTTAAAAATAACAAGGATAATTATATTCAAAGATACCAACATAGATACTTAAGTTTTTATTTAAGTATTGATATTGAAACAGAATTTTTATTTTTTTTTTACTTCAGAAAATATTTAAATACAATTAATGCGTTCAAAGATTTTCTTGTATACTATTACTATATTGACTAATCTATTGTAATAATCATCTCAAAAGCATAGATGGCTACTTTGTTTGATATAGAGACAGCATAAAAATTAATTAAAAGGATTAAATAGGTAGGCAGTCCCCGAAATACTCTATGTACACACAAATCACAAAATATTGGAACTCTGTTAGAAACATTTGACACTTAAAACTAATATTATATATGCTGTAAAAGATAATAGTGTCCTAAGTATACAACCTAACTGATGGAAAAAAAAATTTTAATTTTAAATACAATTAGAATTTTTTTATTTTATTGAAATTAACTCAATCGAATTTTTTTTTCTTTGCAGTAAATGATAAATGATAAATGATAAAACATATGGAAGAAAGATCATACTAATGTAAGAGTAGCACAAGGAAATAGCTGCCAAACCTGGACATTTAGCTATAAAAGTTAATAGAAATTCAAAGTGCATAAATGAGGTATAAGCGTAACTCAATGAGGTAGATGCTCAAACTAGGCATTTAACTATCTAAGAAGTAAGTACAACACTACAACAGTACAGGAAACAATTGAGATACATATGTAAATGTGAGATTGTAAATGTTTTCTGCTTTCCGACAAAATTACCTTTTATATGCTTTTTGGCTACGAACCTTAAGTTTTAAATTAATCAACATATGTACCTACATATGTATTTGCAACTGTAATGTTTTAAATTCCCGAACCAAGTTATAAATTGGTTACATTACGGTTAGATCATTTATATTTTATTGAGATTATGTTTTACTGTTATCTGTAGATGTATTTTATGTGTTGTCACTGCCTTTGTGCACTAGGACTGACAAAGTAATATTTTAACAAAAATAACAAAAAACACCATCCATTCTTAACTTAATATTCTAGCTCAACATTAAATATTTATAAAAAGGAACGACTGCTTTATGTTGCGTAAGTTAATTCAAGAAGAAATACATACATATGTATCTTTTTTGTCTTTAAATATACATATGTATATCGTGAAGTTCATACGATTATTAACAATAGAAGCATACAAGTAAGTGCAATGTAAATTCATAATAATATATGCTACAATTTTAATAAAATGAAAATGTATATGTATGTATGTGGTCGCCAAAGAATTATATTACTTATATGTTCATATTAAAGAATAAAATAAAACGTAAATTATATATGTATGTATTCATAGATAATAAAAAATGGTAAAGGTACTAAAAACTAAAAGCTGTTAGATTACACGTTTCTATTAAGTTATATGCAAAATAAGTCATTTATTAAATAGCAGAAAATGCATTTTCAAAACTTGTTATACATGAACTCAAAAAAAATTTTAATTTCAAATTTATTGATTGTTTTCTGGCAGTTTATTAAAATAAAAAATTTATTTATTTGTTAAATGACCATTTCCGTTTTAATATATATATGTATTTTCACTGACGTATGGATGATTAAATAGATTATGTAGAGCAGAGTTGTAATAAAACACTCGAGTCATTAAAACCAGCTAAAATGATTTATGAAATGAACAATGTACAATTTTACTATGAAAGCATGTTATGCTTGTTATGTAAATGTAATAATAATGTTATATTACGCTAAAGAAATGTTTTAATTATAAGCATATGAATATTTTAATTATGTTTATTCAATATGAGAAAGTACAAAATTCTTAACTATTTACTTACCGCGACAAGGAAAATTTTTTTATAAGAACTCATCAAGTGCAAGCCAGCCGCCACCTACACGAACCATAACTGTGCTACGCAATATTCGCAATATTCGTAATTTTTGAGAGTCGAGTCGCCAAACTGTTTTATACAAAAATAATATTGTTTTAAATAGAAGATGGAGTATTAAGCTTTAAGATCCGATAATTAGTATTTTACGAACCCTATATTTCCCTTTGCCAACTTGAAATACGCGAAATTTTTGTCGACATGTGCAAAGGATAACAAGGCGTTTAACTTCATCATGTATTTTATCTGAATCAGTTGCTGGTTTGCGTTCTTGCCAATCGGGTCTCCACCATTACGATCAAAAAGATCTGCCACTGCACCCATTTCCATTCGAGAAGTGTCAAATTCTTTAAAAAATAAATAATAGGTATTCTACATTATTTAGTTATTCTACATTATATAAATAATCGTACTTATTCCATATATGAATTCGGCACGTGGTATTAAACCATTATTATCCTTATTCATTTTTCTAAACAAATCAGTCAAACGTGATTTTTTGTGATTCATATATGTATGTACATACCATATGTATATACATATGAATATTTCAGGAAAAATATTTTAGGAAATATTTTAGGAAAAATATACAAAAACAAAGCCATGCATCATTTTCAGAAATATTGCCTCACATACTCTTTCATACAAAATCATTTAGAGTAGAATAAATAAAATGAAGAATATAAGAACAATTTAGTATTGATTATTTTTTTGTTACTAGCAAAAATTTGTTAAATTTGTAGTAACTATTTCTTTTGTTGGCGTGTATAAACAAATTTAAGGAAAATATTGCACACGCATTTTTTATGTTATGCAGTTATTTTTATTAAATTTCACTGCAATGCGAACAACAATTAGAAATTTGTTTTGTTAAATTTTTTTGTCACTCTGCTTGCGGGACTTTGTTTAAATCACAAGATTATTGATGTAAATAAAGTCCCGTAATTTCATGGTCAATATTGTTAAAAAAATCAAAGTCGTCATGTAAAATACATATGTATGTATATATTATTTAATAAATTTTTTAGTCAAAATCCATATTCTTTAATAGATGACCCTATTAACTTCAAATTTTGTTAATAATTGCAATAATGATGAAATGAAATTTGTTAAAAAATTCAGCTTCAGTTTCAGTTTGAAGGATATATGCATGTATGTTTGACTAATAAAAAATATTGAATACTGATGATGGGTATAAATTACATATGTAAATAATATTGTTCAGTCTTCAATTAATTTCTACCGATATTAGTTTATTTAATAATACTTAGATGACACATCATTACTTTGCACACATCATTACTTTTGATTTCAGTTATTATTTAACGTGCTAATATTCTACATTAGCGGTTTTACAAATAAAGTAAATATAACAAATACAACTTTTGTTTTACATACATATGTATGTACATAAATAAGGTATAAATAACATTACACAAATAAATAATATAAAAACACAATAAACATATAAAACATACATTAAAATATTATGTATTCAATAATTATTTAAAAACACAATAAACATATAAAAGAAATAATAATAATATATTATTAATAAAATCCATCTTATTTAATGGATGACCCTGTGCGCTTCAAATCATGTTTGGTTTTGGTTTTTTCGTCTATGACTACAACCGTACGCATGTTGTAACTGTAAACAGGACAAGAGAGGGAAGCAAGGGCTCAAGTAGGCAACTAACACGACGCCAATAATTATGCTTGAAAATGCTTGAAAAATAAGAAGTAATAATTTCAAAGAATTTATGCACTGCATGTGCAGAAAAGCAATCAAATATTTTGTGAAAAATATACAAAAACAAAACCATGCATCATCTTCAGAAATATTGCCTCACATACTCTTTCATACAAAATCTTTTAGAGTGTGCAATAAGAATGAGGAATAGAAGATGTTTGGTGCCATTTCTCCGTCCGCTCATCACAATTATGTTTTTTTTCCGCCATGACTCCATTCGTAGGCATAATAATAACTGTGTATGGGTGTGCATTAATATGATATATGTACATGGTTTCTTTAAAATTTGTAAAAACCTATTGTGTTGGTAATCTAAGGCAAATTGATTTGAAGTTTACAGGGTTATGCATTAAAATAAATGCAAACGTTTTCATGTTATGCCTCACATACTCTTTCATACAAAATCATTTAGAGTGTGCAATAAGAATGAAGAAGAGAAGATGGGTTGGTGCCATTTCTCCGTCCGCTCATCACAATTATGTTTTTTTTCCGCCATGACTCCATTCGTAGGCATAATAATAACTGTGTATGGGTGTGCATTAATATGATATATGTACATGTTTTCTTTAAAATTTGTAAAAACCTATTGTGTTGGTAATCTAAGGCAAATTGATTTGAAGTTTACAAGGTTATGCATTAAAATAAATGCAAACGTTTTCATGTTATGCAGTTATTTTTATTATATAATAATGAATATATATAATTATATAGTAATAATTATATAGTAATAAAAATAACTGCATAACAAAAAAACGTTTGCATGTAACAAAAGAAAACAAAAAAATAATCAATACTAAATTGTTCTTATATTCTTGATTCTATTGCACACTCTAAATGATTTTGTATGAAAGAGTATGTGAGGCAATATTAATGAAAATGATGCAAAGAAAGTTATAAAGACAAGTGCAAGAAGCCAAAATGTCAAAACTCGATTAAAATTTTATAAAAAAAAAATAAACAAAAAAAGAACAAAAAAAAATTCCACCACACGTCCACAAACGTAGCAAGTTAGAGGCAGATTGAAATATACGACTGCTTGTATCGGAGCAGAAGAGTAATATGAAATTTTTTTTTTTGCACTACCGACAATAGAATTTAATGCGCTCTCATCGCTCTTTACACAGAATCTACACAATTTCACGCCCAACCAACCAACTAACCAACCACCTTATATGATTAATAATTTTGACCTTAGGCATTGAAAAATATATGCCGGTAGATTAAATGTAAAACTCTTTGCGACAAAGATTTTATTTACAAACATATACATACATGTGAACATATGTATATAAGCATACATATGTTTACTTGTGTATAAAGAAAGGTGATAAATTTTTGAAGATTATAAGCAAATATACATAAAAATATAAATTTTAATATAAAATATTATAACCTACTGTAATGTTGGCGATTGCAAGGCAGGCATTTTACTACGTAAATTGTTTTTGTTCCAAAAATAATAACAAAAACAAATAAAACTAAGACGGAAGACAACTTTTGTTTTACATATGTATGTACATAAATAAGGTATAAATAACATTACACAAATAAATAATATAAAAACACAATAAACATATAAAACATACATTAAAATATTATGTATTCAATAATTATTTAAAAATACAATAAACATATAAAAGAAACAATAAAAATATATTATTAATAAAATCCATCTTATTTAATAGATGACCCTGTGCGCTTCAAATCATATTTGGTTTTGGTTTTTTCGTCTATGACTACAACCGTACGCACGCTATAACTGTAAACAGGACAAGAGAAGGAAGCAAGGGCTCAAGTAGGCAACTAACACGACGCCAATAATTAAATGCTTGAAAAATAAGAAGTAATAATTTCAAAGAATTTATGCACTGCATGTGCAGAAAAGCAATCAAATATTTTGTGAAAAATATATGAAAACAAAACCATGCATCATCTTCAGAAATATTGCCTCACATACTCTTTCATACAAAATCTTTTAGAGTGTGCAATAAGAATGAGGAATAGAAGATGTGTTGGTGCCATTTCTCCGTCCGCTCATCACAATTATGTTTTTTTTCCGCCATGACTCCATTCGTAGGCATAATAATAACTGTGTATGGGTGTGCATTAATATGATATATGTACATGTTTTCTTTAAAATATTTGTACAAAACCTATTGTGTTGGTAATCAAAGGCAAATTGATTTGAAGTTTACAGGGTTATGCATTAAAATAAATGCAACCGTTTTTATGCTATTAATGTGTAAATTTTTTGTTTAAGAAGTTAACTTCTACAGTACACCGTTTACCCGTTATCATCACCGAAAGCTTGATATATTTATTATATATTCAATAATAATATAACAACACAATAAACATATAATATATACAATAAAAATTTAATATATATAATATTAATATAAAAACACATAAAACATATAAAACATGCAATAAAAATATAATATATTCAATAATAATTTAAAAACACAATAAACTTATAAAAGAAACAATAAATATATAATACTAATAAATATCCATCTCTTTTAATGGATGACCCTGTGCATTTCAAATCAGGTTTTGATTATTCACTTATAATAAAATGAAAAAAACCCTTCATACTCCATATTAAATACCACCAGCATCAACTGCGGATATGTGGTAAACAAAATTCCAAAACACTACAATAGAGAGGAGCAAATACATAAGTAAGCAAGTAACACAAAGGCAATAATAAGTGCATGCTACAAATATAGTAATAATTAAAGAGAATAATTTTGCTGTATTCTTAGAGAGTTTAAATGCGATGACGCTTTTGAAATGAGAATTAGTCTGTATTGGCGGCTTGCACAGAAAAGAGGTTGGAATAATCGTGCGTGAACTTGAAAAAATAGTAAAAAAAAAGTAAGTGTTATTTATTTCATTAAATCTTATTTTGCACTTGTGTTGTGTTAATTTATTGTTCAGTGGCAAAAATGTACTTCCTTTCTGTCAAAACTTTTGACCAAGGTTGGTCTAATTTTGCAATAGGGTGAAAAAAAACCAATCTGAACGTTTAAACTCACTTTAAGAAATAAAAATATGTGGTAATAAACGCTTATTGAATAAACGTTAAGAAGTTGACTTTATTTTTGGAATAAATTAACATTTAATTGCGAGAATGCTTTCAGATTGTGTTGATGTTTTTAATTCTATAGCGATGAAAGGAAATGGTTTTATTGTCTACTATTTGTTCTCTCATAAATATACACAAACATAATTTGATGGATTTCATCATAAATGCAATGTTGTCACATTTCTCAAAATACTTATATATGTGCAGAATGTTTAAAGAGCATATTACATTTAAAAAAAGTTTTTAGTTTTATTAAACCCAATCATTAACATCTATTA